CTCCTTTGCCGCCAACGGTCTTGTACGGGTGGGTTTGTCTAATCGATTCCGAGTCGGCCACCAACGGTCATGAACGGGTGTGCTTTTGATTCCGGATCAATTATTCCTTTGTTTTGTCAGGAATGTTATCCTTTGTATTATGTAGATGTTAGTAAACATCCTAAGAAGCTTTGAAAGACTTTGATTGATGAACTTGGTTCATCCCATGATTTGTTACAAGCTATGATATGTATTGTTTTGATAAAGATCTCGAATATCATTCATTCAAACCTTTATTACTTATATCATTTACTGAGTTTTTAGCTCACCCCTCTCCCTTATATATATGTAGGTGATGAGCAAAAAGGCAGTGATGCCTAAGATGTTATTTGCAAGTTGTTTTTGGATTCATGTTTTGCTAGCATCTTGAAGATTATGCTTCTTAATTTGTAATTCATTTCCTTTGTATGCTTTGGCTTGAGAAGCCTTTTGATCTAGATGTATAATTCACTTTACCTTATTTTTGTACTCAAGTTGTAAAACCATGTTAAGATGTATGCCATTTCATTTGATATATGCATACTCTGCTTGTGTGAATCTTTGTAAGTTGGCCTTCGGCAATCTCATATTACTGGCGATCACGGCACCATTCTACTAGGGGCAGAATGGGGTCGTGATAGCTAGGGTTTGAACACTTCACACTTCTAATTCAACTAAGCAACTCAAAACCACTAAAACTCTTTGTCCCTCAAAAGGGGATCAGATGAGCTGGGGATGCTCAATTTATGACATTCTCTTCTCGTGCCTAAACTCCTTAATCGAGTTCTCTAGTTGTGCCGAGTGAATGGCCTATATTGGTCAATGTAAGGGTTTTCTAATTTCTCCAAAAAGATTAGGAGGCGACTCTAAATCTAATTATATTGTCTCTATTTGGCATTTCGCTAGATTAGCGAATTTTTTATGTTATTGCTAAATCTAGACCCTAACTCATTTCACATTGCACATTTTTGTGAACATGATGAGAGGGCGAGTTGTCGGGCCAGATTCCCTCTAGGAAAGACATCCCACAACCACATCTCATCTCTCTCTCACTGTACTCTACGATCTGATAGGATTGATCTTGAAAGAGAAGTCTTTCTTTCTAGTTATGAAATTGCTTAGATTGAAAAGCAAGTTAATGATGCCATAAATCAAATGGGTGAGTGAGGCAAGAATCTTTCACTGCCACTCAGTAGAGAGAAGGGATCATCTCATCTCCAATCTAGTTGTGAGGTCTTAACCCCCTATTAGTCGCCAAAGTGTAGGCCAGGTAATTTAATAAGATAAAACTTGTAACAAAAGCATCGAATACTAGGGAATACGCTTCAACGCCGATCAACCTTCAAATTTATTATTTAATTTGATGCTTAAAAGGCTAATATAATTCTATTTTAAGATAAAAAATCACATTCTTAGAATTAAATACTAAAAATATATTGTAAAACTAATCAGATCAAGATGAAATAACACTAAATTGAGGCAAGGCAGGTGAGGAGGTGTAATAACCCGACCCTCTTACATGCTTTACGTCTTTAATTATATGTGTGATTATAAGCTTGATGTGAAATTGTGTTTAATTATGTAAATTATTCGATTATGAAATTATATCTGTCAATTATGAGAAAATCTATTGAAATTAAGACCTTTGGACTAGGAATTGAAAGCCTTAAAAGCGCAATAACCCGAAATTTACTTTAAAGTTATGATTAGCATGATTTTTAGGGCATAATATGGTTTTTTGTAAAAATTTGATTCGCAACAAACTAAATTGACTTAATTTGGGTTTAAGCCTTAATTAATCTATTTAGAACCATGACTCAAGGTTGATAGATATAAGAAGGCACTTATATGAGCCTAGAAGACTTAGTTTCATCAAACACTAAAAATATCTCCTGGAGAAAGAGAGAGAATAAGAGAAAAGAGGAGAGAACTCAACCTAAGTGGAAGATTGAAGGAACTTGAGGAATAGTTCAAGTATTGGCTCAAGGTAAGTCTAAATCAACTCTAATACCTTAAATCTTTCCTCAATTGATGAGAATCAAGCTTCAAAAAGAAGTATGCACTTATGTAAGTTAGGGTTTTGACATTAAGGTCTTGTTTGAGAAAACATCTATGGAAATCATAAAGAGTCATTGTTCTTGCTGTTTAAAGAGTTGAACCTTGTATTTTGAGGTTAGTTTGATCTAGCTTGAGAGGAACTACCTTTTAATCTTTAATTTTTCATGTTTTGGCTCCTATATGCATAAATAATTGTATCTATTTTGATTCACCATGAAAAGATGAAGAAATGAGTGAAATGTGGTAATTTGATTTATAAATGTGCAATTAAGATGAGTTATGATTTACTTGGGCTTGAGATTCATGTTTATTGTGATTATATATTATATGTTTGAAATGTAATTGTTTGGATTAGGGCCTTGAAATGCCTTTGAAAAGCTAAAATTGTTGAATTTTCGGACTACTCAAACAGAGCCCAAATCGCACGTGCAAAGCTCGTGGCCGCACGTGCGGAAAACAGGGAGCCAGATTGAGCATTCTGAAATAAAAACACGTGTGGCACCTCTTACCGCACGTACGGTAAGGGACTTCCGCACATGCGGCTAATGGGGGAAAGTTCTGTCAGCTTCTTTTTCTTCTGTTTAACCCTCTAGAATTATTAACGTGTACATTTGATCCTGCCGAAATGCTTAAACATGAATGGAAATTTAACGAATCGAACGAATGATTAAAGAGAAAAGACTAAAGAAAAGTGACTTACTTACGAGTTGTGTGTTATGTGTAGGTCACATACAGGAAAGGATTGTTGTTCATCCATATCACAGTAAGTAATAGTAGCGTAACGATATGTTTCATTTATGTATTGTGATTACGACTCTTCTATTGTTACTTGTGAATGGTGCATGTTATATCAATTGTGTTTTGGTTGAAATAATGTGAATGATTGAACCATGATATATGACATGAACCCCAAGCCGTTCTGTTTTGATTGTGAAGAATGGGCTTGAGGCCGTTATGATATGGACTACTTATGATTCAGGGCTCAAAGGCCGAGGGAGGTGGAGACATGTCGATATTCCATCTATCCTATAATGTTCCAAACAACTGTTGTTTTGTTGGGCCCAATGCCGTTTTGTTATTATATTGGGCCCAAGGCCGTTCTGTATTACGTTGGGCCTAAGGTCATTCTGTCTTATGTGGGCCCGAGGCCGTTCAGAAATGAGAATATGAATAAGACCGACTTATGACTTATGACTATGCTTTACATGATTTATGCATATACACATAAACCTCCTTACATTGCTATTATTTACTGAACCTTGCTCACTCTATTTTTATGTATATTTATGTAGGTGATCAACTCGGAAGCCAACCCTAGTTTGGCTCTAGGAGCCTTTTGTTGACCATGTTGTGTCAAGCCAGTCAAAGAGGAGCCTTTTGCCTTTTGTGGAGTTTCCCTTTTATAGTACACATTGTTGGGTCATTGGTGATTTTGTCAAACATTCTGTTAATATGTATAACTTTTGAACCCTCAACATTTTGGCTATATCCCCATGAGTTGGGCTTGTATGTCTATGTGGACTCTATGGCCATGTTTGTTTGGGCGGACTGAATTAGCATTCTCATGACTAATAGTCCTAGGACTACGAATCCGTTGGATTATGTATCCTATCTTAATTAATAGTCAAGTTTAAAATAATTAGTCCGTACTTCAATTGTTTAACCAAACATCGGATTAATAATTTTATTGGACTATTAGTCTAATCCCAAGCTCATGTCCACCCAAACAAACATGGCCTATATGTAATATGGACATGGGATGAAAAATGTTTTGAGATCCTGGCATTTAGACACTACTCAATTGGCATTTCATTTTGTTACTGTAATTGTTTTCGATTAGGCCCCGATTTGGTATAAAATATGTGTTGATCATTTGGTTTTGAGGCCTAAGTTCAAGCCGGTCATGTCCAAATTTTTAGGGGCAAGTTTGGGTTGTGACAGGAGGGGTCTCTAGGTGTTAAAATATGATTGTGTCACATGATCAAATTAATGTTTTGTAGTTCAGATTCAATCATATTTGCACTTTAACTCAAAGACTAAACATTCTCGTTTTATCTCAATGTAGATAAATAGAATGCTTACTTGGTTAATGCCCGTTGCATTCGATCTCTTCTGTTTCTATTTCTCAATCTAATTAGTAAAAATTACCTACCCAATCCTTCTCATTCTCTGTAAACCATATCGAACCTTATTCTTCTCTCTTTTATCTCTTTGCAATTTTTTATCGGTATCTTCTTCCTTGTAGTAGATGGGTGGTTCACGGATTGTGAAGTAGGATTAGGGGTCTTAACTCTCCTAATCAACTGCAGTTCTAAAACTTGAATTTCAAACATGGATCAACCACTGTCCAAAAGAGGGGAGATATGGAACCACCCATTGAGTTTAAAGAAAACATTCATGAACGATGTTTGCTTTGACAGTACAACTTGAGCAAAGCACAAAAATCTGACATTGAATTTTTATTTTTATTTTTATTTTTGATGGGAGTGAACAGATTTTATATACACAATCATAAACTAAAAACCAAGATCAATTTTCCTTTTTACAAACTACATCAAACCAGATTATGGAAGCCTTCATTTCCCAAAAGAGAGAATATCAATATTTCTATCATTCACATTGTTGGTATCAAGTGTGTAACGCCGCTGGTGATGTAAATCAGAGACATTCAGGGCTATTTTAGCATCCAATGCATATTTAAACTGCAGAGAAGCTGTCACTCTCCATCTTATTTGGTTTCCGCTCATCTTCTTTTGAATAAATGCAGCAGCCCAACGGCCAAAAGCACCAATAATTGCTTTAGAATCAGCGAAGTTTTCCATTCCGTTGAATATTATATTCGCAACATTGTAAGGATCCAAAAAATAATAAATAAATAATGAAGGGAACAACAACCAAAACAGAACAAGTGATGCCAGCACAGGTAATGAAAATGAATCTCGTAACGACGGAGTGTTTCTGTTTGTTGTTTAAATCATCCATTCTTTCCCATATCGCGACAACTTGTGTAGATGCATATGCATGAGATAAGTTACATACATCAAGTGCCCTAACACAAAACAAAACCTAAAAAAGGGCCATTACATAAGTTATTAGCAACACATCAAGCATGAAATCTGCAAAAAATCAAATACATACTCATGAACAAATGATTATAATGAGATATATGGCTAATTTAAGGTTTGGAAATACTACGGATGGCACATTTGTGCTCCTCTATTACTTTGAAATCAGTTACAAGAGCAACACACACCAGAGCATAAAAATGCACTGACATTTGACAGCGCAGCAACTATGCAATGGGGTATGCAACATAAGCAACCAATTGTCCGTGAAAAAAATCTGGACAATGGAGACATGAAATGAACCAACTTCTTAGCATCTCCTCATGATACTAGCAACATTTCTACCAATCTCTTCTTTAGTTTGCTCAGAAACGGGAACATCTCCAATGTACATATCAAAGAAAGCCCCTGGAAATTAATATATATCTTTTTGAGAATCATTGACTATATGCTATTTCTTACATATATACTGAAGACATAAATATATATACATATGTCAGAAATGAAAGATGAAAAGATGAATTTGAAGAGAATTCACTTACTGCCCAAATCCTTGCTATAGACTGTTCCAATCTGATTACCTCCAACTGCACAAATACAAATTCCACCTTTAAGTTGAGTAAATGAACACGACCCCAAAAAAAAAAAAAACGATCTCTGTCAGTGCCAATGGTTGACAGAATCTACGGGGAAGACAATGATGCAATGCAGGTAAATTATCCACAACTTTTCGATGGCTTAAAATTTCGAGGACAAAATTTGTTTAGGGATAGGTTATAGGCCCTCTTTATCCTACAAGTATACTCACTTTCAGTAATTAGTTGTCCATCAGCTGTTCTCCGAAAATCTATTATTGTTCCCTGAAGTATTTCAATTTTTAAGTCAGGCGTTAAAAATTCATGGCACCCAAAATTAGAAAAAGCAAACAATAGATTGAGAAATGAAAAATGACTCATTACCACATGTAACGGGATATCTTGTGCGAAAAAAGAACCAAACGTTCTTAGGCAATGGTAGTCTGTGTCTGGGTTTGCCTTTAGAATGAGAGAAAATTGTTAGGAGCCTGCAACACTCACTATCAACAGAGTCATAGGAAGAAGCAGCACAAGCCAGATGATTTACCTTCACTAATCGGGCTCGAAGGGATTTCTCAAAAGCACTGCAACAATAAAACAAATGGCTCAGAAAAATTCAGATTTCATCATCACCGTTTACCATGCACACATTTCTTGCTTAGGAAAGTAACTGTTCACAAGCAGAGCCATGCAATAAATAACCTGCGTCAGGAGAAGTCCAAAGACATACATGCCTACAAACTTATGAAGCTAGTGTATCTTATTGGGGCTTCAATGTAACTAGATTGAGTTGAATTGATACTATAGGGAACTCAGATACACTAGATTTTGATCTCATTTTGAATACACTCACTGAACTTGTAAAATTTAATGTATAAAGAGAAATAAAGAGTGAATAAATTGTATGTATTATTGATTGATGTATATTATGGTGTGTTGAGCTCTCTCCTTTATAGAGGAGAAGGAGAACAATTACAAACCGAAAGTAGAAGCACAAACCAAACAACATTATTAAAGGTACATTATTAAAGCATACTAATTATTATACTAACCTAATTATTAAAGCAACATTTTACATATTATATTCTAACAGAACTGTAGTAGGTCTCGGTTTAAATTTGGATTCTTGCACCGATAAGAAACTTCTTAAAACTTCTTAATAAAGTAAGATCAGCATCATAAAAAGCATGTCAAAAATAATATTCTTTTTTTTTCCCCTCTTATCAGCAACAGAAGAAATATTATTAAGAAAGAAAAGTACAAGAAAATTGGAGGACAGGGAGTCCTCCAAAGAGGGAAATAAATAGTACACAGTTTCTCAACACATATCACACGCTGCTCTCGCATCTCTAGAAATCAAAAATGTGTAATTCCCGCTACAAGGAGGGAATACCGAGACCCAAAAAATGACATATAACAAACCTTATCAGATGAATATTCAACATCCTCTACCTAATCATAAAAAATCCTAACATTTAACTCATTAGACCCCTGATTTTAATTTTTGTTTTATTACAATTTTAACCCTTTGTAAAATTACCTACACGAACTAAAAACATTAAAAAAAATGTTAAATAGAATTTCTTTTTACACCCATCCCATTTCTTCCCATTTGCAACCACCATCACCCTTCTTCTCTACCAACCATTGCCAACCAACCACCACCCCTTTTCCTCCACCAACCACCACCACCCTTTCCCCATTCTCTCTCTCTCAACCCAGGGCCAAAATAAGTGTAGCAAAAAAAAATCTTTTAGCAAAAGGAAAATTTTAACATATTTTAAGAAAAAAACTAGGGCAAATTACAACCAAAAAATAAAAAATCCCAAGGTTTAGCGTATTTTTCAAATTAAATCCCAAGGTTTCAATTTCATCAATTTAAACTCTTAATTTTTTATTTTGAAACAATTTTAGCCATACGTCTCTTTCAGTTAAATATACCTAACGAAGTTGGGGTATTTCTGTCAATCAATTCCCTATTGACGGTATATATCTTATATATATATATACACATTATATATACAATAACGTCGGAAGGGATGACTAAAGAAGGAAAGACGGGGAGGGGGGCGGGCAGGGCGGTGGGGTAGGCGACTGCCGATTCGACAACCCGCTACCTTCACCCGTCATGCATCGCCACCTCCTTCCTAGATGCACCTTCTTCCTCATCATCCCCTAGATCCCTCTTTCAGGTACACAATTCACTCTTACTCATCATCCCCTAGATCCCTCTTTCAGGTACACAATTCACTCTTACTCCACTCAAAAACATATTAGCTCTTCACTTTTGCCAATTCTAAAAATCTGTAACACATACACACAACTAATCTTCATTACCTAACTTTTAATTTTCATTTTGAAGGTATTAGCTCAATTTCTTGTCTTCAAGTTTATGGGTTTGATTTACAGTTTATCAGTTCAATTTGAAGCTATGTGCTTGTGTTGGTGAGTTTAAATTGTAAAATCATGAGATTTAGTTTTCTCTCAAACTAGAACTTGGATTTAATATAATTTGAGTGTTTAGGTATTTTTAACTATCATTGCAAAATTATGAGATTTAGATCTAGTATTCTCTCAATATGAAACTTGGATTCGTTTGGCATGTGCCTATTTTAGCCTAAAAGTCAAAAAGTTACTAAAAAATCAAAAAATCTATAACCTATGCCAAAAAGTCAAAGATTCCATTTTCTCTCTACTTTTTGCACAACTTTTCGTAAAAAATCAAAAAGTCATTCCAAAATACTAGTTTTTTTTACCTCATATTTTAGCTAAAAAGTTACTAAAATAGCATGTTCCCAAACGAGGCCCGCAATTGTATATCCATCGCCGATTCACATTTTCCAGCAATGGCAAACTATACTGAATCCATATCCGATGATGGCACAAGGACGGGTTGCTCTATTATTAGAATCATACGATTCAATTCGATTTAGTGGGTAATCAATATTAATAGGTTGCATGAATCGCAAATAACTGTGAATCATAGGTGAATCGGTGAATTGAATCGGTGAATCGTGAATTGATTCAATTCACTAAAACCGATATTTGGCTTTCTTTTTTGGTTTTTTATTGTTGGAAAGGGTACACAACCTTTTTAAGGTCTTTAAGATTACCATATGCCTTCTTTTGACTTTCTCCCTCCCAATTTACTCTCAAATATTCAATTTTATCCAAGTGCTTGCATTTTTTACCCATCTTTTTTAACACGGGAGGCCCAACAAAGACTCCGCTTAAGATTGTCCTCCATATGTAACACCAAGTATTAAAAGGGAGAAGCTAAATAGGACACCCTAAAATTATTGCCAACCTTTGTAATCTATCCAGCTAAAAATTAATGCCCACAATGTTGTTTTGTTTATATTAACCTTTAAAACCCAAAACAATCTCCAAAGCTCTCAAAACCAGAAGCGCAGTTACCCTAGATGTAAATTGTAAACTGTAAATGGGACACTAAGACACATTCCCTCCATATAACAAAGTCATCAACAAGAAAAACCTCCTTAACCATATTGACCATCCTCCCCAAAACATCGACCACCAAAGTAAAGAGATACAGGAACAGAGGGTCGCCTTGCCCAAGACCTCTAGAAACATTAAAACTTTTTTCTGCCTTCCCATTTACAAGGATAGGCATATTACAAGACAAGCATCCTTGGATCCATCTCCTCCATCTCTCACCAAATTCCTTTATTTGGAGCTCATAATTCAAGAAACCCCAATCATGTGTTCATACGTGTACTCAAAATCAACTTCAAAGATTAAACCCTCCTTTTGTCTTGCTCAACTGCCTCATTTGCATTCAAACATCTAAAATCTGACGGCCTTCTACAAATGCACCCTGGGCTAAAGAGACAATATCCAGCAAAACTATTCTTAATCTTTTTGACAAAACTTTCCCCATTTTTTATATAATGATTGTGATTGTTTGGCCTAAAGTCACTAACCTTAATAAAATTCTCCTTTTTAGCTATCAAACAAATGAAAGAAGAATTGGTACAAGCATTCAGAATCCCATACTCTTGAAGAACTTCACAAAAACTCTAAACCAAATCATCTTTAACAATATTCTAGCAATTTTAGGAAACGACCATAGTGCACCCCTCAAGGCCTAGTGCTTTAAACATCTCGAAATCAAAAGCCACCTCTCTAATCTCCATCTCATCAAAAGATCTCTCCAACCACCTAAATTTTAAAACATCAATCGGAGCCCAATTTGAATCCTCAATACCATGTCTAACTACCTCTCCATCTTAATACAGAGTCGAATAAAATTTGAAAATATCGTTGACAATTTTATTTTCCCTATCCACAAACCCAAGAACCACCTCTAATCTTTTAATGAATTTTTATTTTTATTTTTATTTTTTTATTTTCTCATTTGCGGCCTTATGAAACAATTTATAATTGCTATCTCCCTCCTTATTCCAATTTATTTTAGCCTTCTGACCTCGAAAGATTTGTTCTCTAAACACAACTTCCTCCAACTTCATCTTTAACTCAACTCTTGTTATTCTCAAATTCTCATCAAGGCCTCCCTAGACTAGAGATACCGGCCAAATCAATCCTTCTAATGCCATTTTTAACACCATTCAGATCCCCAAAAACCTCTCTATTTCTAATTTTTCCTTGATCATCTTCAATTTTTTCATAAATTTAAAACCTTCCTACCCATAACAAACAACAACAACTACCCCACCATTCTTCAAACCATTTCTTAAATGATTGGTTTTCCAACCTTGTAAACCTAGATTAGATAAAAGAGGAAGAAAACCTTTCAGCAAATTTTTCAGGAAGAAAACTAACACTAAAATCATCACCAGGTTGACCATCCTCCCCAAAACATCGACCACCAAAGTAAAGAGATACAGGAACAGAGGGTCGCCTTGCCCAAGACCTCTAGAAACATTAAAACTTTTTTCTGCCTTCCCATTTACAAGGATAGACATATTACAAGACAAGCATCCTTGGATCCATCTCCTCCATCTCTCACCAAATTCCGTTATTTGGAGCTCATAATTCAAGAAACCCCAATCATGTGATCATACGTGTACTCAAAATCAACTTCAAAGATTAAACCCTCCTTTTGTCTTGCTCAACTGCCTCATTTGCAATCAAACATCTAAAATCTGACGGCCTTCTACAAATGCACCCTGGTCTAAAGAGACAATATCCAGCAAAACCATTCTTAATCTTTTTGACAAAACTTTTCCCATTTTTTATATAATGATTGTGATTGTTTGGCCTAAAGTCACTAACCTTAATAAAATTCTCCTTTTTAGCTATCAAACAAATGAAAGAAGAATTGGTACAAGCATTCAGAATCCCATACTCTTGAAGAACTCCACAAAAACTCTAAACCAAATCATCTTTAACAATATTCTGGCAATTTTAGGAAACGACCATAGTGCACCCCTCAAGGCCTGGTGATTTAAACATCTCGAAATCAAAAGCCACCTCTCTAATCTCCATCTCATCAAAAGATCTCTCCAACCACCTAAATTTTAAAACATCAATCGGAGCCCAATTTGAATCCTCAATACCATGTCTAACTACCCCTCCATCTTAATACAGAGTCGAATAAAATTTGAAAATAGCGTTGACAATTTTATTTTCCCCATCCACAAACCCAAGAACCACCTCTAATCTTTTAATGAATTTTTATTTTTATTTTTATTTTTATTTTTTTTATTTTCTCATTTGCGGCCTTATGAAACAATTTATAATTGCTATCTCCCTCCTTATTCCAATTTATTTTAACCTTCTGACCTTGAAAGATTTGTTCTCTAACTCCCATACCTAAGACCACTTCCCTTTTTTTACTCCCCAAGCCAACTAGGGATAAACCCATCGCATTGAGCATTTCTTTAAATTGAAACACTCCTTCCTTATCAAGAAGAAAAGAGACCTGTTGACTCTTCTCTCTCGACCATTTATTAGTTTCATCAGGAATCCCATGCATAAGCACACTTCTCACTTCTTTTGTGTGATCATTGGGCACACCCCTCTCAAACATTATTCACATGGCATTCCATATTAGTAGTGATAGGCAGCTGTGAGTCGCTAAATAAGCTATTATCATAACGTAAATAAGGCACTGACGCATCCCCATTGGAAACAAATCTCAGCAATTGCAAGTGAAAAAAAGGAGACAATCAAAAACATTAGTAGAAGAAAGCAAACCGTGACTAGAATACCCTCCCTTAAGATGATTCAGAATACATACATCATGCCTCAGGAAAAAATAAATAAATAAATAAAAGGAATTATTACTATGAGGCTCAGGGAAAATAAATTTGGAAGAGGCAGTCACTGTTCTTCTTCAAAGAAAGACTTCAAGTTGATTTCTGAATCATCAATAGCTTCATCCTCAATCTCAACATCAGATTCAGATTCAGATTCCAAATAAGATCCATCAGAAGAACCGTAACCCATAAAGCATTCAAAATCTGCCTAGATTCAATCACACCTTCCTCCGCAAATGCTAAATTTCATTCCCATCTTACCATGCTTTTAAGAAAGCACATTAAAACATGAAGATGCTAAGGAAGGGGAAGAAGAAAATATGAGTTGTAGACCAAAAAGTTCCCCTCCATCTAAGATACATTTCTATGTATGGACTAGATACTAACCAACAAAACAAAGACTCCAGAAGTGTATAATGATCATTCATTTCTCCAACAGGAAAAACAAAGGAAAAAGTCCCTAGCTTGAGAATAAGTTGGAAACTGATCTAAATGGAAATAATTGGATGTGGTAAAACCTCCCATCAAAAACATATACACACATTGCCTGGAGATGTTATCAGAGAATCCATTGTTATTCCTTATGCTTCAATGCCAAATTGCACTTTTAATGGCACAGTAATTTCTTATGCATATAAATCAATTAATAAATATATAAACCAAGCATAATGAAGTTGGCCAACCAAACCAAACAAATTGTTTCTAAACACTTAAAAAACAAATCTAACATAACATTGCCTATGCAAACATGAACTATTGTGCTAGATCACTTTAGGAAAGTAACTTTGAACTGCAAATAACATGCCCTCTTTTTTCATTAATACTAGGGTTCATACTGCAGATACTGACACATTTAGCAGCAAAATGCAAAGCACTGGTACCTCCAATTTCTAGGGTTCTGTAATATAGGAAAGAAAATATGCAAGTGATTCCGGAGGCATTAGCACTAAAATATTGGGTATGTCAACACTACAAAATAAAATGAAGAATTGATGTATGGCCAATTTTGTCAATAAATAAATAGGAATTTTTGGTCGTCCACATAAAAGAAGAATTTCATCTTTTGTGCAATTAACCTTCTTTTTTTTTTTAAAAAAAAAAAAGAAGGTTATGTTCGACTAATCAAATAGCTTCTTCTTCTTTTTTTTACTTTGAAAGTGTAACTAAATAGCAAATATGTGCCGGTTCAGGATTCTATCAATTGTTTTGAGAAGAGAGAAATTTTGCAGTCCCCCTCTGAAGTGTGAAAAGGCTAATGTTGAGCTGAGAAATGACACTCCCCTTTCTAGCTCCCTTTCCCTTGGAAAAAAATCCGTAAAAGATCTTTTTTCCACAGTATTGTATTGCATATCTTCACATACCAATGTAGTTAATATGATTATTACACAACCCAAAAATAAAGGTAGATAAAAATTGTCATCTCAAAAAAACATAAAATTAAAGTAACTGAATCAATGGCATATTCATCCTTATTTTGGACAATAAAATGTCATTAGAAGGTTTAATTTTCAAATTAATAACTGAAAAAAGAACTTACTCTCTCACAGTTTTGATTTTCACCCCGTTACAATTAACCACAAGCCTGATAGTCATATTGATATCCTCCCTGCAGCAGCCACATCAAAGACTTAGAAGGGAAAAGATTTCATGGAAGTGTTGAAGAATTCAACAGATGTATAATATTTAACTTGCTATTTTTCAAAGTTTGACTCCATCTACAAACATTTATCACATGCTAACAAATATCAATATGTATGATATGAGACTTAATCTCAGAATGAAAAATATAACCACTATGTATTAGCTCTTGATTGCATCTTACGTAAGAACATACAATGTATTTATATACCATACACACATCACAAGAATGAAACAAGCATTGCTTGGCGCAATAAAAGCTCGGGTTGCCAGGTGTGAGAAAGCGAGTGCAACCCTGATAGCAGCCATTCCGTGCAAATAAAGGTGAAGGTTGGGTATGTATTCAGTCTTGTTCCTCCAAACACCATCAATAAACAGGACCAACACTAGGTAATGTCTTTTCATACATGAGATAGATTCATATTTAAACTCGCATGGTAAATTTTATGAAAAATAATTTGACAATATTGTTTCTTGGGTATTTTCAAATTGAAAGAAAGCTTTTATGCAAATCTTTTGTTCAATTTTTGTTCATTATGTTCTCAACATTCAGGAAGCCTAATTAGAATACCTTCTCTAATTTATTTTTTTTACAAATAAAATTCAGTAAAGGCGCCGAAGGGGTTGCAATCTCTGTATGCTAGGAGTATATGAGAGAATACTAAAATAACTCCACAGAATGAAGTTCTCCCATAAAGTCTACAAAAGAATTAGAAGATTTTCAAAAATTCACTACAAGCCAAAAAATGGAATGTACAAAGTAAGACAATTTAAGTCTATGTACAAGCATCTCTATTTCTTCAAATATATATTGACACTTTCCCTCCAAAAGCACAACAACAAGCACATAGGCGCAACCATCCAAGCCCTCCTCATTCTTATTGGATGGCATCTCACCTCTCAAGACTCATACAAAAGGGGCAACTAATGCTCGCACATCACACCAAACACCAATATAGAGAAAAGCATTCTCCACAAATCCTTTGCCACATCAAAATTAAGTAAAAGGTGGCCCACTGATTCTTTTGTTCTCTTACACATGCAACACTAATTTGGAAACATATTTTTCCTTTATCCGAAATTATCAAAGACTTGAGTCCAACACTTGTCCAAATAAATAAAGCTACCTTTATCAGAATCCAAATTCTCAGATTCACACTTCATTGGTCACAAGAATATCTAGTATTTGTCTTTACACACCCCCACCCACACCCCCCAACCAACAAATGCATTCTACGACTCCAAAATCACAGTACCAATAACCTCAACAATCTAGGGGCTATTAATGCAACCTACTAGGCTAATATGTTTGAAGTCTTTCAACTCCATTGCAACACCCCTTCAACAGTTCAGAGCATTAGAAAAGCATTCAAACTTCTTCCAAAAGACTTGAACTCATAGAAATGATCTATTGCTGTCATGACATCCTCTTTCATTATATTTTAACAAGCAAGAGGGCAAGCCATTGCCAAGCCCTCTTTATCCTCATTATAGTCTTTTAATGTTGCCAGCACTTCTTCCTCAAAAAACTGAATCTCTAAACTCTCCCTATTATCTCCAGACAACGTGAAAAGCCCCAAGCCAAGCAGAGTCACCTGTCACTAGTTTCCGAACACAACTGCTCATAAAAATATGCTACCACTCCCTTACTCTCTTCACTCTGCCTTGTCTCCACTACATCCACTACTAAAATTTCCAATGTGATCAGAGTGCCTATGAGCATTATCCATCAATGACAAAATGTAGCAGTTCCATCCCATTTCTTACACCACAAAAACCTATATTTTCGCCTCCAACTCTCCTTTAGCCTCTGATCTCAACCTCTTCTTCTTTTAGAAATGTCCACTTCCCTCTCATCCAAATCCTTAATAAGTTGAAGCATACTAGCCTTTTGGACTAGCACATTCCCATACTCATCTTTAATCCATTTCTTTAAATCATCTTTCAACAATCTCATCTTCTTTAACCAAAAACAAAACTTCAGCTCCTGAAACCTGATAACTTCACCACTTTCCCACCTTACCAACAAATCCATCCACTTCCACCCATATTTTTTTCAAACAGAAAAGGTCCCACCCCAAATTCCCCCACAATAGAAAACAATAGTGACATGATCAGAACTGAATGGAGCAAAGCAATCTGAAAAAAGGTTCAACGGCATAAAGTTCTTCATGGGAGTCAAAGTTTCTCACACTCTTGCAAGTCAAAGAATCATACTATTTGCAAGGTTTAAAAACCTAGACCAGAACAACCAATTGTCTGCTTGTCAACCGTTGAACCTTCTAACCATGTACTTTCAAATATTGCCTTAATTTAGCATATGTAATGTTTGGTAAACTTTTCCTTTAATTAAGCAATTGATTTGCACTAATTGCCCTAGTATCTCACTAATTAACTGGCATTAGTAATTGACTTAATCAATCATGTATGCTACCTAATTATATTTATTTTAAATTGAATTCAGACATAATTGCATGATTAATTGATTGGGTTTGGTTGACCCATTTTATATTTGAAGACCCTTCTTGAATTGGGCTTTGGCGTGTTAAGCCCATGACTTCAGATAATTTAATTTGCGCTGTTAAAACGTAATAGAATGTGATTGGGTCACATTTAGCCCATGGGTGGGTACTTGAATCATGATGCATGACCCACCTTAATTGAGTAGGATTTGACTAGTCAATTGGAGACACTTTGGGAGGGAAAATTCCCTTCAATTTTCTGCTTCATATGACTGAATCCCTCTCCGTCTTCCCCCTCATTTTCGTTGATCAAACTAGTTCAAAAGATGTTGAATGGCAGGTTAGATTTTACCAACCCTTTGACCATTTGTCTTCTAACCTTACACACATGCAAGAGAGGACACAAACACACATTCCCCCCCAACCCTGGTCTAGCTCTCTCTCTCCCCCCTCTCTCATTTTCCTTGGTCCTCCATTGAAGAACACAAGTTCTAGAACCACCACACCATTACCCATCGCCCCCTCTTGCTCTCTTGACTATTCTTGGAGGTTTTGAAGGAGTTTTTGGAGCTCAAAGTCCACCTGAAACTTGAAAATTTGAGATAATGCTAGTTGGTGACATTGCCCTTTACACCATCCTAAGAAGCACGGACACTTCTAAGAAGGTGACACATCCGTGTCGTGTCTGTGTCGGATACCGATACTCTTTGGACACTTCCCCGACACATGTCCGACACTCTTCAAAACATGTCCTGTTTTTTAATATTTTTTAAAGATCCGGATAGTCTTTGGACACTTGGAGGACACACGTGTGTATCGCTTAAACACATGTCTATCAATTAGAAATATGTAAAACTAATTATAAATTTGAACAAAACAACTTAAGATATAATAATAAAACAAAAACCATATAAATTTATAAGAAATAGTGTCATATTATATTTTTTATTATCTTTGAATGATATATTCATATATATAACCTATAATAAATATATAAAATTATATATTTCATACGTATCCCCCACATGTTGTGTCCTGCATTTTTTGAAAATTAGCGTATCGGCGTGTCCATGTTGTATCCGTGTCGTATCCGTGTCATGTTGTGTGTCCATGCCAATGCTTCTTAGACACCATCCATCTCTATTGCTCTCTTTGTGGTAAAATAGAGTAGGGTATTCATCTATTCACTTGAAAAGTTTAGACAGCATGTTAGGGTTTATGATTTTATGTTATTGGTTTGATGTATTCCATGATTCTCCATGTTAGTATGCTTCCATGATTATATTGCTTTTGAATTGGTGTTTTTGAATATAATCATCATATATGTAATAGCTTAGCTCCGTGATTTCCATGTCATTAGTTTAAAGAAAATTTAAATTTTTGTGTTATTTCATCCTATCTCATGGAACAAAGTTTACTAAAATAAAATTAGTGAGCTATGCATTTGAATTTCATATTGATTAGTATACCAATTTCTATGAAAAGTTTGCTTTTTAGTTTTAAATATGAATTATTCGAGCTTATGTTCATTGCTTTTGTATGAGTTTTGGTGTTGTTAATTTAGAGAAAATGAATAGTATGTTTATGGCTACTAGTATGAATTTCCAATATATGTTATATCATGGGTTTATGGTGCTAATGAGTATGTATCACTTGTGTAATTAGAGGTGTTAAAAGATTTGTAGAAAAAGTTTACGATAGGTGCCGCGTCATTCCATCAGTGAGAGCCAATAAACCCACACATGGTTGGTTTCGCATAGTTCGGTGGTTTCCCATAGTCGCCTAGGTTAAGGTCACAACTTGTGTCTAGTAACCCGACGGAGGTTTGACTAGGTTGTTGATTGGTTGCTTTCCTTGATTTGAGTTGCTAGGTATTGATTTTATCCACAGATTTCAGACTATTTGAGAAATTGGTTATTGTACATATATTACAACAATATACCCACTATAATTAATACAAAGATTTAAATATATATATATATATATTGGATGACATGACTCTTGCACGCAGTTTACTCATTTCAAATGTCTTAGATGAATTATTTGGTACGTCTTTGCTCACCCCCTACTTTTTTAGGTACTCCATTGCCGATGACATAGAGTTAGGCAGTCATGCCTTATATTTTGTTTCTTTTGCGGACTTATACATACACCCATGCTTAATTGCATTTAAGCCATTTTTTAGGTTTTGTCATTATTTTGGGCATCAGCATTTAAACCTAAGTAATTTGCATTCAGACTTGTAAAATTAGTTAGTTCGCATGCTTATGTTATTTTGATGAAACATATTCCAGATATTTGGGTTGTGATCACACTCCTTGCTTTTCGAAGCCTAATTCTAAAAATACTATCTTTGTAATTCAACTCAAACGATTCTCGATTAGTAAAGTATGCAATTGAACTCATTTGAAAAGAGAGAGAGAGAGAGAAGAAAGAAAAAAAAAAGCGCCCAATTAGTACACAACAAGGTTAGGTGTGTACTCAATCTTTCCCCACCCAAACACACATTTGGATATTAAGAATTGGAGCAAAATAATCCTTCATTTAAATCTGTCACAAATCATTTTTTTCATTAATTAAATATTGTTGGAGTTGTTTAGCTCACTCAAAATACAAATTTTCTCAAATTGAAGCCCTGCCTAAATTTTTAGATAAAACCAGACAATTGAATTGGAACTTAATATGCTTCATCCATGTTTTTAAAACAAAATAAATGAGATTTCAAGGAAACAGGAATTGGAACAATTAAATGGCATCTTATCAGTTGGCCAATTTGTAATCTGATGAAATAAACTGGGAACCAAACTTAATTAAGTAACCCTAATCGTGCAATTAGTAATAATCCACCAGATTTAGAAACCAAGGCACGACAGCATATTTGGGAGTGGCACCCCCTCGGTGCATTTTTCAATAAACTTTACTTATGGCCAAAATAAAAAATAAAAACACAAACAAACTTATTAAGCTGGAATCAAGAAAATGATTATTGCACATACTATAAATGAGAAGAATGATGGACTTCTTGAAAAGTAGCATAGTTTTAAATAAGTCACACACCCTTGTCTCAGCCAAGATATGAACCAGTACCTCCCCTTTGGGGTGACTGGAAATACCACTCAAACTAACGATCGTTTTTTCTTTTTATTTTTTAATTTTTTTAATTTTTAATTTTTAATTTTTTTGTGACATATAGTTGGTATGATTAAATAACAATTTCACATTTACCTGAGAAGATCCTTGTAAAAATCATGGCATTTGTTCAGTTCACCAACTGGAATAGAAGCATACTTTGGACCCAACTTCACACAAACATCATAGGGATGAACATCTAAAGGAAAGGCAACAGTAAAAAAAATTAAGGGAAGGATTTACCAGGGCTACATATGTCAGAAACTTGTAGTAATCGAGTGAAATCCAAGAATACTTACAAAACCCAAATGCATAGATCTTCAAAGATTTGATTTTGATTATAGTCATTGTTCTGGATCCGGTACCGACAAGCACCTAAAACAAAGATCGAACTTATTCAGAAACTACTAGTGATAATGACAAATCAAGAGCTTCTACAACAAAAGAAAGCATGCCAGCATAAGAATATTGATGTAGGGCAAGCGAGAAACACTCCTGCAAGCAGTGGAGAGTTGTATATAAGACTAATTACATCTTATGTTACATGGACTCGGGTATGAGTGTCAGGTATGGGTGTGTATCTAAATGTCAAACATTCATAAATAAACTTAAATCTTAGAATATTGGGATAAGTATCCAAGAGTGGATATGGGTATGGGGACTTGTTATGGACACATTATATAATATTTTTAGATAAGATATTATAAATTATGTTGAAATGCATTTGTAATTAAACAAGATTTAGGAAAAATATGAATTTTTTTATCTTTCATCCATGTTAAAGGAAATACATGTTTCTTTTCTAGCAAATGTGTGTTTTTTGTTCTTCAAACATTGTAAACAATTGGAGGATTTAAGTGTCTAAATTGGATAAAGGTGTCGGACACATATCCCATACTCTTACCCTTACCGTTGTCATATCCAGAGGACACAGAATAAAAGAGTCCATGTAGCATAGATTACATCTATTTTGTCAGGCCAAAAGCTTATTGAAGATACATGGGGCGGGTATAACGGTTTTAGGGGCTAAGTACACAAAGGTCATGATTTGGAGCCCTAGTTTGGTCCACTGGCAAGTCCACATGCGATTCAAATGAGTAAAATCCAAGAAAAGATAAACTTCAAAAGTTGGCACGATCAAAAAGGAGTTCCAATTAGAACTATGCAAATCATGTTTTTGGTTATGGTAGTCTTTTTTATCATTATTTAGGCTAGGCATAAACTAACATCAACAAGAGATCTATATAAAACTCAAATCAAGAAGCCACAACTACATTGAATAACTAGCGAAATGAAATAGAAAATGCATTCCACAGGAACTAAAAAATTATTCTATTTTGCATTAAATGGCATATTAGATAACCAATATTCTATTATATATCAAAATTTCATATAGGAAAGTTAAAGATGTAATTCAACACTTGCCAAGTTTCTACTAGAAAGTTCTTAAAAAGTTCATTAGATCTGCCCAAAATCGATTATTATTTGCTTTCAAATGGTGTAATAGTCAACTAGACGAGCCAAATAAGGAAATGCAACACAATAACCATAAATTAAAAAAAAAAAAAGATGCAATACCCTCAGACAAAATAAAAATATAAAAAAACTGCTACAATAGTCAAGTTTTATGATATTTTACATTGAGGATACTATTGTTATATTCTTATATTATTGTTCTAATATTAAATATGCACTAAGGATGAGGGTTTGTTATACACCCAAAACCTATTCACATCTCTTTTCTCCTTCTTCCAACGCTTTTGAGGTTGAGTTATTCCAAATGTTAAGGGAAATGATGCAACACATGAAGAAAAGAATTGAAAAGGACCTAGAATTTCATGCACAATATGGGTGTAGTGAATTTTTTCCTCTATTTTTTATTTTTTTATTATAAGCAAAGATTAATAACCAAAATCCATACAAAGGGAGAACCTTGTACAAAAGGGAAAAGCCCAAAAGCTATACTTCCACTGGCACATACAAATCACCTATAAATTGCACAAAAGCTATACTACCTAGTGAATTTTAGGATTGCTGTTAGTGAGAATTTTATATTTTCATAGGTTAGTATGATACTGAAGATATTTAGTGGTGTCACATTAGGTTTTAGCAGTGTTACCCAAGGCTCATCAAAGTGCATTCAGTGCACTTCGGAACATCTCATGCCAGGCAATGTAAAACACGCCCCATAAAGGCGCATGAAATGTGCACTTTGGACTTAGGCTCAAGGCTCACGACTAGTGCGCCTTTTCTAAAAAAAATTATTATTATAATTACTACTTACCCTTGATTTCACTTAATCTCATTGTTTTATTACTTACGTGCTGCTATAAGGGATTAAACCCTTAAGCATTCATTGCAACCCACCACTTTTAAAGCCCCAATTATACAAAGATGTTGGTTAGATAGAGCTTTCTCTTCGACCACACAAATAATGATCGTTATTCTTCTTCTTCATCTCCTCAAAATCTCCTTCTCCTTCTCATTCTCTATGCTTATCTTGTAAAACACTTCGATCTTGTCGCTATTTTCAAATATTTACAATTTATGAGTTCAAAGATCATGTTTATGTGCAACTATGAATTATTTGTTTATGATAAAATATTAGAGTTTGCTGTTATTTATGTTTTAAAATATTTAATATTACATTTTATATATGTTGAACCTTGAATTATTTCTTATATTAAATTATCTATTTTTTATCGTCAACATGAGCCTCGCTTCGATGAAGCCCGCGCCTCGCCTTACGCCTAGGCCCTAGGAAACCTTGGCACTTTAGTGCGCCCATAACCTTAAATAACACTAGGTTTTAGTAGTTGAAGATTTTTTTAAGTTCTTGAATTATCTAGATACAAATTATTGAGATCACGTACAAGACATGCTAGGAGTCAAATATCGTTGTTGGGTCATACATAGAGTCTTTATTAGGTCCATAACATTAAAAATTCTTTGTTTCCTAAATGTGTATCATAGTCCTAGTAGAATTAGAAATATGTATATAGCAACTTATAGATATCTATGTAATGGTTCTATCCAATGAAAAATTGAATTTTGAGAATTTGTAAGAAAAATTTGAAGCTTCGTCTGATGTGTTATGCAGCTTTTCCACGTTGGATCCTTGAATTCTTCCTCTCTGTCACAAACACTACTCCCAAGGTCCCCCAACCCCCAAATAAGAGTCTTTTTCAATCCGAAAACCATAGCATATTGATTTCTAAGTCAGCCTAACCCTTTCCCCTACACTTTGGCATATGATTTCACACCAAAAATGGTAAATGCCATAGCATGCTTCCAATGTTTTCAAACTGCAATAGTTCCTTTCTTCCTAGATATACCACTCAAGTATAAGAGAGACTACTGATATTAAATTTCATAAATTTTTGTTTAACTAATGTTAATGATAAACAATGTTGGCTGATAGGTGACGAAATGTACACATTTAGGCCCTATAAACTACACTTTTTACGTCCGTAATTGTCATTATTTTATTATTCTAATGGATTCGCATGTTGTGCAGGTCATTTGAGTCTTTAGGATGAAAGTCTGTCTAATTGGCAGAATTGAAGGACCAAAGTCCAGGGCCAAGCAAAGCGAGGAAGCTCAAAGCTGGATTTGGATGTGTCAAGTTGCACCCAAGGGCAAGCCTTGGTGTGCTCGAGCGCACACCAATGTGTTTACTGTGTAGGTGCACCCAAGTGCATAACTACACAAGTCAAGTTTTGAAATGAAGTACTTTGTCTAGGTGCGCCTAGGCATAGGTTATGGGAACAATGCAAATTTAAGTGAAACACGTGAAATATCGACCTAATAGGTTGGGTTGGAAGAGAAAAGTATAAATAAAAGGAGTTCTTAACTTGGTTTGAGGGTTCGAACTTTTATAGCACTACGGATACCGACTAGAGAAAGGATTTTCAACTTGTTCTTCATGACATTATCTTCTTCCTTAAAGGATTTGTCTCTTCTCCACGAGTGGCTAGGTGTCATACTACGGGTTTAGATGAAACCCTAGCCAGGTAAAGTTGATTGTTGTAATTAGTTTTGGGATTGGTTGTTGATAGCGTGGGTGTTTGGGAAGTGAGTTTTTTTGTAGGTTTTTTTAGTTGTAGGATATTATTGGAAAAAAAAAAATTGTGTTTGGTAAGATAGTTGGGTTTTTTTGTGGTTGGATGTGATGTTTGTGAGAGAAAAAGTGAAATGATTATGGGGTTTGATGTGATATTTTGTTTAGATTTGTTTTTTTGGTTTTGTAACCAATGTCTTTTAGTGAGAAAAAAACAAAACAAAACAAAAAACTTCCTTCCCAAACAGCGCCAGTATAACTTTGAGACAATATTTTTTGGGTAAATTACACTTTGCCCCTTTATGCTTGACTCATTTCCCACTTTGGCCCTTAAAGTTTATTTTTTTCCAACTTGGTCCTTTACCTTTGAAGTTTTTCTCAATTTACTTTTAAAGCTAACCTCTGTTAAAAATTAGACAAAAAATGACACATTGACAATCACGTGGTATAAAAGTATTTTATTATATATAATTCATACCTCTGACACAAACTCAAACCTCAATATAATAATATATTTTTTATGTTATGTAACAGTTATCGTGACATTTTGTCTAATTTTGAACAAAAGTTTACTTTAAAAGTAAATTGGGAAAAATTTAAATCATGAAGGGTCAAAGTGGGAAAAAATAAATTTTAAGAGTCAAAGTGGGAAAGTGACCAAACATAAAGGGGGGCAAAGTGCAATTTACCCATATTTTTATGTAATAAAATCAATTCTTCCTATAATATTTGACGTATTTGATTCTAGTAGTTTTAAACACATGATAATATAGTAGTTTTGATTGTACATGTAACTGTGAATTGTGATAGCCTATGCTTGGACAAGATGAGTCATGCTTAAACTTGGTTGAAGACGATTCGTTCCATCAAAGATAGGTTATACCTAATTCATAGCTATATGAATCCTCTTGAAGATAGTTCGGGCTTGTAGTCATGGATGGATCATGATTGTTCAGTTAATCAGATCTCGAAATTGGTACAATATTCATAGTTACGAAGCTAGGGTGGATTCAACACCCTAAGCTCTTTCAATTGTTTCTCTTCAAATACTTTGTTTACTTGGGTCTTAATCCAATTCGATCAAATTCATAATTCTTCTCTTCATTCAAATTAGTTTAAGAATCAATTTCAATAATTAACACAACATACCTTTTTAGTCCCTAAGGTTTGGTCCAGATTACAACCGCTATTTTATTTGAATTAAGGTTATAGTTTGGTTATTTAATTTAAACGATCACTGGCTATCAAGAAACAACATACATGGAGAGAAATGAGTTCACTTGATGTGAGAATGTAGAAATAATTGAGAGCCAATATAAGAAGAAATAGAATAAGGACTAAAATTTTCACTAGAAACTGAAAGTCGCATAAACAAGGATAAGGTGAGATGTTCTTGAGGTTTGATCTGTAAACAATTAAGACCAATAACTATTGCAATAAAAAGGGAGGCAAATCACGGTTAAGGCTTAATGCATTACCATTATACTGCCCTCTACAAAGCTAAATGATTTTAAGGGTTTGAATAGTTGACCTCAAATCCACTTGATTCTAGCTATGTTGAATTTTGAGATTGTTAAGATGTGGGTGCATATCTAGGATAGGCCGACTCTACAAAGAAGGATCCAAGAATTAGGTATAGTTACGGGGATGCGTCGTCTAATTAGAATATCATAATTTCATAAAGTAATATTTATTCAGGATATAACATATTATATATAATGATTTTACTATAACTTTAATATATTGCCAATGCAAAATATAGAATACAATGATTTTACTATAATTTTAATAAATTGGCAATGATTTTGCAAAATATAGAATACAATGATTTTACTATAATTTTAATAAATTGGCAATGATTTTACTCCAAAATTTACTTTTTCCCTAAAAAAATTAGAAGAAAAACTAAGGCCTTGTTTGGTTTGTTTCTCAAAAAAAATTTTGAGAAAAATTCTCTACAAACAAATTTTCAAGAGTAATCAAACCAAACAAATTTTTTCAAAAAAAATCTCAAAATTTTGTTTGGTTACGTACTTTCCAAAATCACTATCTCTCTCATACACATCAAATCAATCACTTTTTTTAAAACTCTCTCCCCAAAACAATTTTCCAAAACTATTTCTGAAAAAAGACAAACCAAACAAGTTTTCGTACTTTTTATCTCAAAAACTACTCTACAAACACAAACCAATGTTTGGTTTAGCTTTGAGAGAGGAGTTTTGGAAAAAAAAATTCCAAAAAATTGTTTGGTTTGAGATTTCTCAAAAAATTTCCAAAATCACTTTTTCTCTTTTACACATCAATCAATCACTTTTTTTCTCTCCTCTCTCCTTCTCAATCACTTTTTCTCTCACACACATCTACTCAATTACAACAAAATATCAAATCATCCCAAACTCCAAAACTATTTTCAAAATATACAACCAAACAAACCAAAAAAATTTCTAAACTCTCTCCCCAAAATTTTTTTGAAAATCACTCTCTCAAAAGCAAACCAAACACATCCTAAGTATTTGTTTCAGATCAAAAATATCAGATCCATATCCCATACCATAACTGTGTTCTGTCGTATCAACAAAGGTACTTCAGCAAAACGGAAGAGTCCATGAAGCATACATAGTAACGTACAATATAACAGTCCAAACTCCTTTAATCATTTTCATTTTTTACCATTTATATCCACGAGACCTCTCCTTTGCACATTTTAGCTAAAAGATGAACAAAAGAATAGTGATCAAACAAAGGTTTGAATGCTTAGCTTTATAAGAGAATTTCTTAGCCACAGAATAAATATCCATCTAGTGCATAATTGCGTCTATTATCACCATTGATCTCCCGTATAGGATTTACAAAAAGGGTATCCACTAAAAAGGAACCACATGCAAAAGCAATTGCAGCAACAGAGAACCCATAAAATGACTACACAATGACACATCTTTGTAGCAGCTAAGCAGATTCAGAATGCAGATCAAGGAGCATATGTAAGGTTAATGAATACTATGCAAAAACACCATCAGTAACCCATAAGAAACAAGTATAAAGTTTTAAATCTTGACCTCTGAAGTTAAACTAGAATTATTCCCTCCAGCTAAAATGTTGTCCAAAATTGTAGGGAACTCGATACCAGTTCTGGGCTCAACTGAATACCTTGTCCAGTTTAAATCAGGAAAAGAAAAATCACCACATCCCTGATGCTCAATGTCACAGGGAATTTCATCTATGCATCTCTGTATTCGCATATCAGTATTCTCCAGAGGAACACCTAAAGCCTTTGGAGACCTGATAACCATAGATACTGAAAGAAAATTAGAAAGCAAGATTCATGCAAAAGTTATGCAAACAAAGACTACAAAAAAAAAATGTTGACCCACATCACACAACACATCTAATGAACAAATGATAAGTTGTTTCGAAATAAACCAAAAAATTCATATGTAGAATAGAAAGAGCAAACATGTATAAATGACTTACACATTATCAAATGGTGGTACTAGAGCAGCAGCCAGTGAGAGGACAGGGAATGACTGGAGCTCCTTAGCTGCACTGTGCAATTGTTTTGTAGTGACACTCAAAATATTACCAAAAATCACTGGGGAGAAAGTTTTCCCTTTTGACCTAGAATTGAAGTAAAATCCTAAAAGATTGTGTCTACTTGAAGTACTGAGTTTTACTTGTGCAGGAGATTTAAAGCCTTTAGGATTTGAAGCATATGAATTTCCCGATAATTTGTGACTTGTATTGGAATTCGACCCACTGGCAAACCAAAAGAGTAGAGCACCGGCAAACTTTGAAATGCAGTTGAAAGCCTCCTGAAGAGCCAGACTTCCAGGGACATACAAGTATCTAGTGTTGTAAAGAGAATTGTCAACAAACGAACTAATCTGATACAACAAATGACCCCCAAAACTATGTGGCGCAAGTGGTTCTACTGGAAACATGTAAGGTGATCCCCCATCAAGATCCATAAAAAACAACCAATTATTCCGCATATTGAATTATGTACAGGTTATTTCCCAACACTTAATGGGAAATTCTCTCGAGATAAAAACCCAGCCCTAATATTACGCACCTGCAAAAGTGTCAATCATATTGAACAAGTTCAAGTTATGTACTTTAAAATATATATATATACACACACATATACAATAATAAATATATAAACATAATGGGCTAAAAGAAACAGAAAGAAAAGGTGTAAATTACAGTAAAAAACTGTAAACCGCACTCAACTATGAGTCATTTCCGAGTTGCCCTTAACGTTTCAAACTCAGCACTGAAACCCTTCAAATATATGAATTATAAATGCCATAGACGCCATTACGGAAAGTATTAATTTTCCTTTTCACCCTTCAATTATAGCCCTTCCATTATCTTCCTCAATCAAACCCAATCACTTTATCTCTCTTACAAAACAAATACATCCACCCATCACAACCTGCCACCTTCCCTTCCCCCTTTACTGTAATTTGATGCAAGAGCTTATAATTCATCCAAGAATGAAAGATATAATTTGATGCAAGAATAAAATAAAATCAATTTGATCAAGTATGAGCACCAGAAGTCCTTGACATCACTGAACTCACATAGAGCATGTCAAAAGAAGAGAAAATCAAAATGTTGTTTTTTGGCAAGAGACACTTATACTCATCAAAATCAATAAGAACAAGAACAAAAGATCAAAATGGACTCATGGAACAATGATGTTCACACCTCATAATTAAATGTCCCCCACTAATGGGCAGCGCTACATACATTACATGGGTTAGTAATTATAGATGTAATATACATCTTGGATTGTCAATTGTCACCTCTGGAAAAAAAAAAAAAATTATATATTAACACCCTTGACTTGCTGGTGCAGACACCCTAACTTGCTAGTCTGAAGACTCTAAACCCCCTCCACCAAAATTTTGAACACCTTTTCTATGTCAAGTTCAGTCTACTCCAAGAAAGTTTTATCCAACTCATTGAACAATATCTCATTTATTCCCCTCTCTCTCGCTTTCATGACTGATTGTTATTCTTTTTGTAGTTTGAGGTGTGTGGTGGTGAAGATCTGTTGCAAAGTATAATGTCTTTCCACAACACTAAAGATTATATAGTGTGCTGCAATGGTATGTGCATTTCTTAGTGTTTCAATTCTTCAACCATGGAGTTTTGGTTGTTAGGAACAACGGAGCCCCAAGACGCGTTGTGGGTGCATTAGTTTGATATGCAAATGTTGTCGATAGCCTCGATGTTTTTAAGACATCTTGTTTTGTTGGCTGGTCAAAGTAGAGGATAGCTATTTTGTTGATTTGTGAGCTGAATTCTATGGGATTGATTAGTATATTCTATTTTTGCTGATTTGATATTGGCATATGTTGATATGTTTTGATTTTGGAGTGTTTGATTACGCTATGTTTTTTTGTTGGCTTTTTGATGTGTTGAAGTGCGTTTAAAACGCTTATTTTTTGGAGAATAGGGGTGTAAGAAAGATCGTCAGAACCGAATGACCCAATCAAAATTTTGGTTTCCCTGGACTTTTGTTGGCTGATCGGTTTGTTCGTTGTTTATTTATTTCAAAACAAACAGTGCTATGTTCGGTGTACATATTCAAATGTTTGACCCTGAAAGTAATCGAAAACAACCGACATAATTATAAAAATGTATAATATATATGGATGTAGATGAATGAGATAGATGTTCCATCTAGTTATTAAAAATAAAGGGATGAGGGAGTTCTTGTCAGGTAATGAAAATATTAGGGGGGATTGCAAATCAGTGAAAAATAGAGAAAGTAATTACAAAAACATGGAGTGCGGTGCAAATGAAAACTGTGGCCTTACTTGCAACAGTGCACAGACCCCACCTGCACTGTTTTTATAATTATATTTTGTTTACTTTCCCTAATTTGCAATTCCCTCAAATATTTAGTGCATATCATTATTTTAAAGAGGGAGAAGTAATAAAGAATTAATCAATGAGTTAGATAGATATATGTCAGTCTCCATTCTTTTTTGTCCTTTATTTTCTTTTGACCTCTCTCTCACCCTTTTTCCCTTTTCTTTCTCATCCTCCCATCTCTTTCTCATTTTTCCATACCTTTTGTATTCCCCAACAAAGTTTCACATCTCTCTCTCTCTCATGGCATTGTACCAAATGACCCTTCTTTTCTCTCTAAAAATAACACTGTTCAGCTTTCTCCACTACTTTCATGGCTAGAAATACTCTTCTATTTCCCCCCATGTTCACAAGATATTACAAGGGTGGGTATGTATCCGACACCCATACTCAATTAAAACACTTTCTACAAATTTAATTTATATGTTCTTTGATTGATGTGTGTATATATATACACATTCAAAAATGCAAACCAAAAGATTGACTTTATATGTTCTTCTTGGACTAACTGATTAAACCGACCAAACCATACCATCTCAATACACAATGGTTCAACTAAACATAAAATTGAGAGGATTAGTTCGGTGGAAAATCTCCGTAAACCCCAAACCGATTTCACCCCTACTGAAGATTTTTCACCCAAGTCACTTGTGTAAAACTACTTAATTAAAATGCTTGTTGATCTTCGTGTTTCTCTATTGAGAGATTATTGTGGTTGTTTGCTTGGACAGGTGTTTTGAGCTTGATTGTAATATTTATTTTTTTATTAATAAAATTTTACTTGTCAGAAATTTTTAGTTTCTTTGTACTGAATACTGATTTAGACTTGTTTTGGCAACAACCTAAAATAGTCAAAAACCCAAAAAGCCACTGCTAAAAAGTCAATTCTTCTCTCTATTTTTCCAATGTCTTTTCATAAAAATCCAAAGGGTGATTCTATTTACACACTAGTAATAATCTTAGTACACACAATTACTTAGTATACACACAAAATAATTTTAGGGTTTAAAAATGTCTTAATTCACACCTTAACTTTCCATTACTAACCCTATATTAGCACACCACTAACTATTTGAAAATACACACCATTACACACACCAAAAACTTTTCATCTTCACCACTACACACAACAAAAACCCTACAATCTTCAAAACAGAGACCATCTTCATCGGTCTTGATCTCCATCCCCAACGGAGGTTTCATTCGGCCTCCTTCTTCGCCAGTGTTGATCTCCACAGTTGGTGTTGAACTCTTATCGTGTCTCATCTCATCGTCTCGTCGTTTCAGATCACCAGCAGAGTGTTTCATTCAGCCATCTTCGCCGGTGTTGATCTTCATTGTCGATCTTAAACTCTCGTTTCTCGTAGTCGTTTCAAATTCATCAAATTAGTCATGTTCATAAATATAGAGTTGAACAAACTTAATGTGTTCAAAAATTTATATCTTAACAATAAATAAAAATTTAATTTATTTTAACCAAACTAACTTAAAATGTTCAATTTTTTATATATGAACATTTAATATTTGGTCAATCTTAATAATTTGAACAAAATTGTTTTGTTCAAATATAAATAATCGAACATTGTGTAAAAATTCAACTCTGGTTATCTGAACACGACGAACAAACTCACTTGCCTAACATACGATGAGATAAATAAAAAATCAATAAACTAACTCACAAACTAACATTTTCAATATTCAAATCAACGTTTTCAATATTTATATCAGAACCAACCATCTCAGTGTCATCCATGATGTACAAATCTTCAAAACTAATTAATTTCAATGTTCTTAAATCCTAAATCTTCAAAGGCAATAATGTTTTGGGTTTGAAAAATAAGTATAATGGAGAAGAGAATGAAGTGAGTTAATTGATAATGAACGATATCATAATTATATGTTAATGGTGAAGATGATGAAGAAATACAATGTTTATATATTAAAACCCCAAACCCTATTGAAATGATGGTGTGTGAAGAGTATTTTGTGGTTTTAAATATGAAATTTTTGAATGGGTAAAATACACCTCATGTTGTCCTTAATGGTCATATCATTGAACTTAATCTATTAATAGTGTATCCTGAGAGTATTAGTGGTGCGTAAATAGAATCACCCAAATCCAGAAAACCAACTCAAATATCCACTTTCCAAAACAACCCTACATCAAATTGAGTATATTATTTATTTTAATTAGTGTTTCCATTACGGTTAAAATTTCTTTATATATATAAAAAAAAAATTAAAAAAAGAAGTATTTTTCAACATATTTTCCTGTTAAATGTGATTTCTTTTATTTCGTACAAAAATTTGAATGCCATAATAAGAAAAAATTCTGGAGCCGAAACTGCCCCCACTCCACCCCATCCCACCCCAAAACTATAACAACATTACATTTATAGCATCTACTTCTTCAAGAAAATTCAAGAAAAATTATAAAAAAATCAAAACAAACCTAAAACAGTTTAAATGCTACAACGTATTCGATAACAGCTCATAACTTAACCAATAACCAATTAGCAAAATCAAAATCATATATGCGCCTAATGTGTGTATATATACAAAAGGAAATCGAGATATACATATGAATATGAAAACATAATACAGATCAGTTGAAAAGGAAACAAGGACGATGTAAAAAAGCAACCTGAAATGAGGAGAAAGGTTAAAGGTGATCGAATGCAGAGGTCGATCAGGGTTCGGTTGCGTTTGACAAACGAAGCAGATGCATGTGAAAGTTCGTGCTTCGATCAGGGTTCGGTTGCGTTTGACAAACGAAGCAGATGCATGTGAAAGTTCGTGCTTTTGGAGTTTTGAGAGAGAGAGAGAGAGAGAGAATAAAAAGGAAACGAATATGCCTTACTTTACATTTGGGAACAGAAGAACAAAACAAGTCATAAATTCGTCTCGATTGGCAACTACGTGTTTAACATGTACTTAAAACGTGTATTTTATTTTTTTTTCATACATATATTTATTTATTTAGATCATATTAATTAATATTTATTAGTAATTATTTTGTAATTATTTTATTTTTTATTTATTTTTTTTATTTTTTTACACATTTTTTTATAAAAAATTTAAAAATATATTTATTTAAACAATCTCAAACCATTTCATTAAAAAATTTAAAAGTTATTATAAATTATCACATCACTTTTTTTATTTTTTTATATATCTTTTCGTAAAAATAAAAGAAAAAAACTACTAAAATAACTTTTTTAAATGTGACATAAATACACAAGAAAATGACACGCCTTTTCTTTTTCTTCTTTTCACACTTTTTTTTGTTTGGAGTAAAGAGATTTATTTAAAATATAAATTATAATTACTGTGTTTGGTTTGAGTTTTCCGAATTAAGTTTTTTGAAAACTAAATTTTTTGATTTTCGTATTTTTTTGTTTTTAGTAAATATTTTTAAAATTTTAAACATTTTTTTTTACTTTTTTAGATGCACCTTACTTAGATGTGTCAAAAAAGTTAAAAAATTGTAAAAAAATATTTTAAAAAATTAAGAAATACATGAAAATATAAAAAATGTACTAAATTCTTGTATTTTTTTATTTTTTGGTATTTAATGAATTTTTAAAAGATTTTTTTTACAATTTTTTTACTTTTTAGGTGTATTTATGTTAGGTGTGTCTAAAAAGTAAAAAAATTGCATAAAATATTTAAGAAATTCAGTAAAAACAAAAAAATACGGAAAATAAGAGTGTAGAATTTTCTGAAAACTGTTTTTAAAAAATGGGAACCAAGCAAAGTGAATGTGATTCTGAAAATTTCATCCGCCTTTTAAGTTTTTAATCATTAACAATTGACTACTTTTATTAATAAATTATCAAATTAATTAATAATTTTTAATAATATTAAAAATATAATTTAATTAAAAATTCAAATAATTTTATTATTATATAGAAGAATCGTTAGAAATTTTATTTTTTTATTAATTATGTTAAATAAAATTTTTTGACAAAACTGATATTTATAAGTTTCAAAATTACAAGAGCATTTTATATTTTAAACAAATTTCAAAAAATATATTTATAATTTACCCTTTCTTTTAACAACAAAAAACCATTTTTTTTCTTTTTTTTTATCTTTTTTCTTTTTTTCATATTTAATTAAATTTGTAAGGTTGATGAGAGGGGGCAGTTCTAAGACTAGCAGATGACATACTTCTAGTTAGTTGAACTGGAGGTCTCTGGAATTGAAGGTAAACATTACCTTGATGGGTCTGAATTATATCATCCAAATTGTGTCTAACAATTGGTCTAGTCGGAACAGCATTAGTTATCTTCCATCTTTCTGGAAAGGAAATTTTTTCCCATTCAATTATCTTTGGGACTGCAACCTGGCTACTGTAAAGGTTAGTATCAATTAACACAGTTTGTCCATCAATACTTTTCTTCTTTACATAAGGATTTAAAGTAGATAACACTTTTAAATAAATTCGGGAAATTACTGAAAAAGGTGGAGATCCGGGAAGATACTCATAACCATGAGTAAGAATTCTGAATTCTAAAACTTTTGACAAGTTTTGGTCAGAAAAGGCAATACTGAAATTAAGATATATATCAAAATATACTGGACCATGGGCTAGACTGGTTTCCATAGCACCCATAAGTGATGCTCTCCAATTAGTACACCTACCATCTCGTAGAGTACACTGCATGCTGGTATTTTGACCTAAAGGTGTCAAAGGTTTTAAAGCAATCTGGACAAGTCCAATATAAATATATTTATAATCTTTAAAAAAGGGCATGAGATCCTGGACACTTAATAAATACATTAATGTATCATTATTATTTACTGGAGCTGCATGTTCAAAGGTTTTAATAATCTTTTTACTGAAAAAATTCAAAGTGCCAATCTTATAGATGGCCTTAGGATCTACCTTCGGGATTGTCCACTTATCAAGGGCTTCTTTTACTTCCTGGTATGCTACAAGCTCTCTGGCTTCTGAAGTAGAGGCTTCTGTTTCAGCTACTGTAGGGGCTACTGTATTCTCCTCTGTAGGAACAGTACTCATATCGTTGTTTATGACTATATATGAATAATTAATAATTAATAAAACAAACTATTTAATACGTTAAACATGGCTCTGATACCAAGAAGATGTGCTTACACAGGGGTAGACGGAGCACGTCTGTCAACGACTTATGCTACCACAAGGTCCTTACCGCTAACTGCTTGACGGACAATGGAGCTACGCGACTTGGGTGACGTCCCACTCAGCCTCTCACTATGCTACCTCTCAATGGCACAAATCCAGGAATAACATAACAAATAGTTTTATTTTATTTAGAATTAATTATATCATATATAGTCCATGAATTAAGATTCTGGAGGAGGAAAAGGCCGATTGGCCCTTGCTAAGAAGCAAATCTGTTCGTTAATTAAAGTCTGGACTTGATTAATTTTATTATTGCACTCTTCTAATTGTCCTAGAGCCCAAGGATCATTACGAGTGATAGTAAGATAATATTCAATATTTCATTTTTGATTTTCCCAAATGTTTAAAATATCATTATATATAACAAGTTGATATATTGACATACATTAAACAGAAAGAAATACTTACATCCAAATCAGCAAGCTTTTATTATAATACTTCAAACTTTTACAAAAGAAAATAACCTGAAAATAGAAAGAGATAGAGAAAGAGAATTTCAAACTCAGAAAATAAAATTTCGTGGTGCCTTCTACAGACCAGAGGCTACCAATTTATACTACAAAAGATCATGATATCGAAGACAGGTGGCGTGTGCTGGATGGTTGTGCAGTCGAGCATCCTTATCTTCTTATCTTCAATTGTCGGCAAAGAGGGACAGCTGGAAGGTCCACAGATAGTGGGAATCTGCTTTATCAAAAGTTGGTGCGTCGGTAATGTCACCACTGAAAGTTGTTTGGCAGTTTGTGGAGCTGGAAAGTTGATGGCAGACAAAAGTTGGCTAAATCATGTTGTTTTGTTTTTACCTTTGCTTTTGTCGTGGAGTAATTTGTCGACAATCATTTCAGTAACTGAATCCCAAATATCTCCATAATTGGGTTCGGTCGGGTCGTCATCCGGATCCTGGGATTCACCCGCAAGAACAGTAAAAGTATTATCTTCTTCATATGGATCTACTGTAGTTCTGTCATCTTCGCTCTGGGTACTGGAGGTGGATTTCATACTGGAGTCTTTGCTAGCAATGGATTGGATAAATTGCTGTTTCATGTAATCCATGCTTTTGATGACAAGTTCTGTTTCTGATAAATCTGGAAATTTTTCTCGGAGCTCTTGCTGGATCTGGACAAAAGGATTTACTGGAGGAGCTGGGATGGACTTGGGAGAGGCATCCCAACAAGCTTGAGTGTGCTCTTTAATTTTCTGAAGTAATTCCTGCTTAGGTTTGGGATCATCCATTTTAATCCACCATTTATACAGGAAAACACGTTTCAGTCTGGGAACCTTATTCTAGAAATCACATCGGAAATCCCATTTCCATATCCATGGGATGCTAAAACAAATAGCAAAATGAATAAGACATTTGGACATGGAAATTTCTTTATTTACTGGAAGTTGACTGAAAGCTACTTGCCATTCATTGAATGCAAGTCGAATATGTTCTGGAAAGACGTCAAGCTGGATACCAAATTTATCCCACCAAATGAGAAACCAATTGGGGAGATCATTTTTGAGAACGTCAGGAAGAACACGAAAGAACCAAGAAACTGCATCATGTAATCTATCCAACAAATCTTTTTTGTTTGGTACTGGATATCTAATCCACTGTAAAACTTCATTCAAGTGTTTGAGTTCTTTGGAAGAAAATCTACTCTAGGTGTGTGGGATTTCTATTTTCGTAGGCAACTGTTTGCTTGGGAAATGGATGAATGCTCTCCGCTCATTCACTTGCTTCATTGTAACCTTGTACTGTGTGAATCAGAGAATGGCATATTGGTTTGGAAAGCTGAAGTATCCGGGTTGTTCACTGTAAAATCAGTTTATGATCGGTTCAATTTGAATCTTGGTCCATTGCCTTCTGTGCCTCGAGCGATATGGATGAATATTGCTCCTTCTAAGATGCAATTCACCTGTTGGCTAGCTTGGAAGGGCAGACTAAAAACTTCATTGTTTCTTCATAGCATTGGTGCTCTTGATCCTACTGTAAATCCTTTATGCATTTTTCTGTAATTCTTCTGAGACGTTGTGAACCATGTGCTTCTTTATTGCAGTTTTGCTTGGAAAATCTGGACACAGATTTTGTTGTGGTGGGGTATTATTTGGGTGGCTCCTAATTTGTGAGTCATTTGTTGGAGTGGTGGGGTGGATTCAAATTCAAAAAGTTTGAAAAGAGTATTTGGGGGCAATTCCCGCTGCTGTGATTTGGAATTATGGAAGGCTAGAAATTGGTGCAAGTTTGCTGGTCTTGGTACTAATTGGGAAGGTTTGTGTGAATCTATATCAATACATATAGCCTTATGGATTAAATACCACGTCGAAGGGGTGAGTTACTCTGTTTCTGACTTGGTGTTCAGGATCAAAGCTATAAGGGCTAGCTAGCTGGTTGGGTTTCTGTGTTTTGGGTGCTGGTAGTTGTTGTTTTGTTTCTGTTTGGTTGATCCCTCCTCAGCCTTCTTCTGTAGGTGCTGCATATGATTGGGTGAGTCTTTTTGTGCTAACCTAATTGAGATAAATGACCTTCACTCTGATGCTTATAACACCTAGGTTTTGTTCTTTATTGATGTTTGATGTAAAGATTTATCCTTGATTCTTATTCAATAAAGTTCTTTTGCTGATCAAAAAAAAAAAAAAATTTTTAAAAAGCTAAAAAAAAAAAAAAAAAAAAATGAACCATATTGGATTGAGGTAGGAGGAAACTACACTAACCTCCCTCTTGAGTTTTTAGAGAAAATACATTGTGCCCACAAGTTTGGTATTGTTTATATTGTGTTTACACATAATTTGCATTAGTTCTTTTATCAGTAAAGGGAAACTTTAATAGCGTACAAAGAGAGTAACATCAATAAAAACATCAATAAGACCAGCCAAATACAATGCAGCAAAGTAGAGAGCTAAACAAAACAAGTGGCTTAAACTCTCACACAGAAATCTGCAAAACCATCTCGCTCAAATCAAGACTAAAACAGAGAAAATGAAGGCAAGCTTATGTCCTCAAAACCAAAAACACACCATAACCTCCCAAAAAGAATCTTGAAGAATTCATAAAAGTTAAGAGCTTAATTAATAAGACAGATGTCATATTTGGCTTTGCTAAATCGGAATTTTCGGTGACATGTCAACGGACTCTTTATACAAATCGCGTAGCATCTGGAGGCGCTTCCACAGTTCATGAGGCATGAAACTATATCATCAAATTTTTATAAAACGTTAGCCACATGAAATAAGCACACAAAAGAGCAGCAAAGGACGCGATGAAAAAACCATTAGCATACGGAGGAGTTGGAGATATTGGCCAAAACGCAAACCCATAGCTCACTATCAGACATGACAGAGATATGTACAACACAAAACTAGAGAGTCGCAAGGGAAGCACAAATATCAACGCGGTGATTGAGGCGAGAAAGCATACCATGTTCAGGATAAAAAAACCGATGAAAAAGTCTCCATAAGTCATAACATCCGTTAACTTGATTTTAGTAGGATTGTCGGTGGTGTTGGTATTGGTGTCAGTGGTGTTGGTGAATATGGTGGCGTTAAAATGTGTGATGTTAGTAGGAATAAAATTGGTGGTGGTGATGGTGCCGTTACTGTAATTATGAGTGGTGTTGGAAGGAAGAGAAGGTAGATTATAATTGTTTTTTACTCCGCTTGGAGGCTGAAGTATAGCTTGGAATGTAGCTGTTGCGATCAGAACAGCTACAACAATTATTATGTTTCGCATGTCCATTGACATTTCTCTCTGCTCGCGAATGATTCGTCCGATTAGAGCTTGGAACAATCGTCGCAATATTTTCAAAAATTCTCCTGCACGGCCTAAAGTTTTCTGGATTTCAGTTTTGGCCTGACCGTCGGGAAGTGTTTCTGCAATGCCAAGAGCTGTTAACTACTCCAAATTCTTTGCATTTTTGTCCGGGTAGATTTCTTTCACTAATAACTTCACAATCTGCGTAAACGAAAAACATACAAATCAATTATTTTATATTGGGAGTTCCTCATTGGCAACATTCGTTAAAGATCAAATAATATCAAAAAGGTTAGAATTACATACACATTTCATATATTCCATACACTTTTATATATGAGATATTTTTTTATATATACACCAATAGTTATCACCGACCATTTAATTTGAAGCTAAAATTCTATCAACTACTATGATATTTATGGAACCAAAGAATAGATAGAAGCATGCCTTGGGTTGTGAAGTGGACACCGCAATATGCAGCACGGTGTTGCCTCCCTTGTCTGTCAAGCACAGCACCTCACCTTTGTAGGTCTTTCGAAGCCATCCCAAGAGGACTTCAACAGCTTTAAGACTAGAGCTTTTCACAGCCATGTGCAACGTAGTCTCTTCATGAATTGTCACATCATTTATAGATGATGAGCAAAGATGTAGAAATTCAGATAAAAGATCGTCCGAATCGTCTGTTTGGGCTACAAAGTGCAGAGGAGTGAGACCCTCCCTTCCTTTGACACGGATGAGTTCACTGTCGAACTTGACGAGCCGTCTCACAGTCTCAGAATGCTTGTTTTGCAAAGCCAAGTGCAAGGGGCTTAGCCCTTCTGGATTCAACTTCTTGCCGAATGATGGCTTTAATCTGAGGATTTCTAAGGCGAAATCGATTTGTCCAGCTGATGCGGCTACGTGCAGAGGAGTCTCCACAAAAAGTTCTTCGTTCATGCCGTTCAAAATGTCCGGTTTTGACTGAATTCTTGCATACAAGTAATTGATATTTCCTGCTCGAGCGGCCTCCATCAAATGGGGATCCATTTTGTGCAATGATTTTCAACACTATTAAGTGACGAAAGAAAACTAGGAAAAAAACGTACACAAGTTTTTGTTTTTTTGTCGTTCTTTTCTTTAAGAAATTTTTTTTCGTATGTGCTATAGACTCAGCTATTGTAAGGCAAGACTTACATTTTAAATAAATCTCAACCACATAAATATCGCTTTTGATATTTTTTGAGAAATTTTTTTGCAAGTGTAACATTTTGGTGTAAATGTCAGTTATTTGTGTTTTTCAATTTCTGCCCACAAAAAAAAAGTTCTGTCAAAATAATAATAATAATAATAATTGGTATGCTTCAATTAAAAGAACTTTCCAACTCCCAAGTACTCAAGACTATACAGCAAAAATATCAAAAAAACATCTTATCTGAAATAAAAATTAAAATAAATTTGGTACACATAAGGCAAGTGACAAGAGTAATGATGAATTGCAGATGTTAGATTCAAGAAAAAAAAATGCTAAATTGGATATATAAAGAAACTCATATGGTTCAGATTGTTTAGTTTCCAACCCAAGTGGATGCCCTTTGAACAAATTATGGAAGACATAACAGGAATTGGGTAATTAAGGAATTATTTGAGATAATTTAAATACTTTTTAACTCTTTACGAATATATTTGTAAAAAAGTAGAGAGATCTTATGACAAAAAAAACAAATAAAGCTAGGAGTATAAAAATTGTCCGGTGCCCGAGTTGGACCTGGCCCGGTTAGGCACATGCCCGAGACCAGCCTAGGACCATTGGCCTAGGCCTAGGCAATCATTTTTGAAGCCCGGCCTGGCTCGTGAACTCAGTCTGCTTGGCCCAACACATCGACCCACTCAAAACTCAATCAAAGCCCGACTTGAGGCCCAATGTCATTTTAATAAAATTTTGGTAGGAAAAATAGAAAAAAAAAATTATAGGCCAAGGCCTGTCGACCTGCCCAAAGCCCAAATACCCCCTGAGCCTAGGCCTAATTTTCTGGCCTGTGGGTTGGCCCGGCCTTCATCCACGTAAGCCACCTCGTTTAATTGGCCGAGTGATGTTGTAGCTGTTGCTGAGCAGGACCGCCCTCAAATTTGTGAGGCTTAAGGCAAATTATAAAAATGGGACTCCTCTAATATATATTTTTTTAATAAAAAATATATGTATAAAATGATAAGTATTAACAAATTTTTTTATTTAAGTTTATTTGCACATATAATCATTAAAATTATAAACTAAAATTTACTTATATATATTAAAATATAAATAAATCATTACAAATACTCAAAAATATTAAAATATGGCCAAAACAACACTTGTTTGTATATGTTTTGATTTCAATTAGATCAAACTACACTTAAAAAAATAAAATAAAATAATTCAAATGGGCCCAATAGAATTTTTTGGACCCTTTAGACTGGCATAAAGCAACAAAAATAAATTAAGGTTGAATAACTATATCTGGATTCTTTAGACCTGATGTCAAGCGTGCGGGTAACATGAGGATGCATACCCCAAGCCTGGATAGGTACAATATTCTGGATAGTAGCCTTACTGTAATTAATAGGACTAGCAGTCCTATTTGGATCGGCTAAATAATGCTGGAATTGTACCGATGCAAGTTCAGTAAGAATTTGCTCGTACACATATCTGTATTGATCAAAACGCGGAGGTGCGTTCTGAGTGGCGAGATAACGGCGTTTTATCTCCCACGGATCCACCATCCATTGAACATCGGAAGAATCAATATAGAGGACAGTTTCTTCTCTGATGGTATTCTGGATATAAGTAGTTTCTGGAGTAAGGAGGACATCTTTAGCAGACTTGCTGATTTTAAATTAAAATCTAAGGAAGATTCCGAGTTTATGGAAACTCTCATTTCCCGTATTAAAGACCTTCACATCAGTGAACCACCGTCGACCACTACGTCTCAAGTAAATGTACTCTCAAGCGACCCTCCTAATCCAGACTCTTTTGAAACACTGTCTCCTCAAGACATTCTTGAGATCCAGCAAAACTTTCAATCCACAGAACAACCTTCCTCGGTAAACCGGGCCTCTTATGGCCAAGCTACCCAACGGTTATCTTTCATGACCTAGGCTTGGCATGACCTAGGCTTGGCATGACCTAGGCTTAACATGACCTAGGCTTGACATGACCTAGGCTTGACATAGCAAGGAAGGAACAAAGCATGCATACAACACTTAGGGAAAACATGATAGCATCAAGACAAGACAAGAACCTTTACCTAGGCAAAACAAGTCCAAGTCTACAAATGCAAGCTTAACAAGACAAAATCATGCAAATGTACATGAACATGACTAAGACATGAATGTGGGTTATTACAGGAGTCTTTGCTAGCAATGGATTGGATAAATTGCTGTTTCATGTAATCCATGCTTTTGATGACAAGTTCTGTTTCTGATAAATCTGGAAATTTTTCTCGGAGCTCTTGCTGGATCTGGACAAAAGGATTTACTGGAGGAGCTGGGATGGACTTGGGAGAGGCATCCCAACAAGCTTGAGTGTGCTCTTTAATTTTCTGAAGTAATTCCTGCTTAGGTTTGGGATCATCCATTTTAATCCACCATTTATACAGGAAAACACGTTTCAGTCTGGGAACCTTATTCTGGAAATCACATCGGAAATCCCATTTCCATATCCATAGGATGCTAAAACGAATAGCAAAATGAATAAGACATTTGGACATGAAAATTTCTTTATTTACTGGAAGTTGACTGAAAGCTACTTGCCATTCATTGAATGCAAGTCGAATATGTTCTGGACAGGCGTCAAGCTGGATACCAAATTTAGCCCACCAAATGAGAAACCAATTGGGGAGATCATTTTTGAGAACGTCAGGAAGAACACGAAAAAACCAAGAATGGCTTCGTGGGGGATTCATATAATAAAATGCTTGGGAAAAAGCATCAATATAATCCCAATAACTATATCTGGATTCTTTAGACCTGATGTCAAGCGTGCGGGTAACATGAGGATGCATACCCCAAGCCTGGATAGGTACAATATTCTGGATAGTAGCCTTACTGTAATTAATAGGACTAGCAGTCCTATTTGGATCGGCTAAATAATGCTGGAATTGTACCGATGCAAGTTCAGTAAGAATTTGCTCGTACACATATCTGTATTGATCAAAACGCGGAGGTGCGTTCTGAGTGGCGAGATAACGGCGTTTTATCTCCCACGGATCCACCATCCATTGAACATCGGAAGAATCAATATAGAGGACAGTTTCTTCTCTGATGGTATTCTGGATATAAGCAGTTTCTGGAGTAAGGAGGACATCTTTAGCAGACTTGCTGATTTTAAATTAAAATCTAAGGAAGATTCCGAGTTTATGGAAACTCTCATTTCCCGTATTAAAGACCTTCACATCAGTGAACCACCGTCGACCACTACGTCTCAAGTAAATGTACTCTCAAGCGACCCTCCTAATCCAGACTCTTTTGAAACACTGTCTCCTCAAGACATTCTTGAGATCCAGCAAAACTTTCAATCCACAGAACAACCTTCCTCGGTAAACCGGGCCTCTTATGGCCAAGCTACCCAACGGTTATCTTTATCTGCCCCTCACAGGTATTATTATCCTCGGCCTAGTCCTATGGATCTTCTGTACGAAGAAGACTTTTTCCAGACCCAACACTCTTATCATAGTAATACCATTTATGAATGGAATATTAATGGTCTTTCTGAATATCAGATTTATGAAGTTCTCCATCAGATGCTTATATTTGCCACCGTTTGCAAACAAAATAATAATTCTGATCATCAAGTTGCCCGCCATATTGTTAGTGGTTTTACCGGTGTTCTGAAAGGATGGTGGGATAATATACTCACCACTCATTAGTGTACAGAAATCCTTTCCTCCACCCATCCTGTTATTGATACAGAAGTTGTTGGTGCTAGCGGTGAAGCTGCTGCACAAATTGAAGAAGAAGATGCTGTTTACACATTAATCAACACCATAATAACCCATTTTATTGGTCATGCTACAGGAATATCAGACCGTAATAGGGAACTACTGATGAAATTACGATGCCCTTCTTTATCCCATTTTCGATGGTATAAAGATGTCTTCCGGATGAAAGTCATGCAACGTGGTGATGGCAGTGCCGATCACTGGAAAGCTAAATTCATTGATGGACTTCCGACACTCTTTGCTGAACGAGTTCGTAAGAAATTACGAGATGTCCATCGTTCAATAGACATACCCTATTACCAGTATACTTACAGACAACTTATTAGTTTTGTAACTTCTGAAGGTCTTGCACTCTGTAACGACCTTAAACTCCAGCAACAACTTAGACAACAACATATTACAGGAAGAAAAGAATTAGGTGAATTTTGTGAACAATTTGCCTATGATCCTCCAGTCCAGTATCCCCATAAGCAAAGAAAACACAAAAATTATTCCAAACCTTATAAAAAACATAGAAAGTATTCCAAATCTAAGGTCCAGACACAACCCTAGACTTCTAAACCTAGATATAAATCTAAGACCAAAGGAAAGTCTTTTCAGAAGAATAAATCCAGTATTAAATGTTACAAATATGGACAAATAGGTCATTATGCTAATAAATGTCGTGTTAAGATTCAATCTAAACTTAACGAATTAGCATTAGATGATGATGTCCAGCAAAAAATATTACAGCTAATCTCTGATTCCAGCTCATCATCAGGACCCTCTGATAATGAATTAGCAGCTATTTATTCAGATAGTTCGGAACCAGAATCTGATGATAATCCAGAAAATGAACTTTGCCCTTGTAAATCTTCAGTAAACCAAGTTTCTGATGAAGTCAATTATTGGAAAGCTATCGTAGAAATGAATGGACTTAATATTGGTCCTAGTATTAATGTCCTCACTGATTCTCAGCAAAATCTTTTAGAAATTGCTGATGGAATCAAAGATCCAGCCACTAAATTAAAATTTCTTGAAATGTGCTATAATCAAAAGAAAGAAGAAGTACTTCCCCCAAAACATTATAGCCTG